GCTGGTCACTACATGTTAACTCTGCTAAGTACCAGGAAATCATAGATTAATAAGAGCACATGGCCGATTTTGTTTTCTCATGCTTTGTCTCATGTCAGTCTTGTCCTGCTGTCTTGCTGTCCTTTTGCTCTCTTGCTTTCATTTTCTGAATCATTTGGAAATACCACATTATGGCACTTCATCCCTAAATGCTTACAGTGCGTCTTCTAATATAGACATTCTTACCTATGACTAATGTCTGGATATACTGAGAAACTCATATCTTCAATATTTATTTAGTCCTTCCTCAAAATACCCTGATTTTGCCCAAGATATCTTTTATAGGTGCTTTTTAAAAATAAGATCTACTCAAATGATTCTTTGTTAAGTCTAAAACCTTAACATTTTAAAAAAATGATATGGTTTTCAGAGTCTAGGTCTAATTTTTCATAGACTGTCTCACTATTAATGGTTGTCTGATTGTTTCCCGTGGCTTTAGTCCATTCCTACATCCTTTTATTTCGTACAACTGGAAATGTTTGCGTTGACAGATGGAGCTTAAACGTTCACTGGTGTTCTGTCCTTCGTATTGCATCATCTGAGGGAGGCACACAGTGTCAGGGTGCCCCGCCTAGGTGGTGGGAACTGCCAGTTTTCTCTGTCCTTGAAATCATTCAGTATGACCTATGAGAGAAAATGAGAGCGAGAGAGTGTTTTGCAGGTACTCTGTGTTCCCAGTACTCCTACCCTTTGGATTTTAGTGTATGTCGATGGCCTTTACAGTGGAGATTATGAAACAGTGATTTTTCTAACTCTTTCATTTCATTTACATTTATTAGTTGGCATTCCTCTTTAAATAGGACTTCTTTCCCTTGTCTTTTACCTTTCTCCTTCTGCCCTGTAGTATCACCGTGGTCTCATAGATTGAGTTTTTCTAACTCAGTGTGTTAAAATTAATAGTAGTCAGTCTTTTTGACAGTTTGATTTTTCCCCCAAGTTTGGCTGAGGAGAGGCCCTTAAGCCATCAGCTATCCTTTCAACACGACCCCATTAAAGTTTCTGTGCCACTCGACACCTGCCATAGGCTCTCTTTTTACTTCTCTTATCCCAAGATTTGGAATCACCCAGTTCTCCAAGTGCCCTAATTTCTTGTTTGTTCCTTTGCTTGTTTTAATCAGGTGTTGGATTTTGAAAAGCATAGCTGCTTTTGGAATGTTACACCTTATGGGCCCTGTCAGTTGATAGAACTAGGATACATCTGTGCCTCTGTGTGTCATTCAGTGTATATATACACACACACACGCACACACACACACGTATAGCATTAGTAAATGAAAGTAAAAAGTACATTGGGAATCATGAGTTCATGTAGATATTTCCAGTCCAGCTTTAGCAGTGTAGAACTTGTATCTGCTTTTTAAAAATATTTATTTGTATTTTATCGCATAATTTACAGGGAATATCTTGGCTCTAATTGTATTGTGTTCACTATTTGCTGCATCCTAAGATATATAGGTATAAGATATATATATCTCAAAATTATAATCAGTGTTACTATCAATAAACAGATTAATAAAGATGGTTTATAAGTAAAATTTGATTCGTCTTTTTTGCCCTTAAATATATCAAAAAATATAGGAGTCTGAAGTTATTTGAAGTTTTTGTTATCAACTTGATATACAATTAGTTTCTCTTTTAGTGCACAATTAGTTTCTATAAACAAAAACTACCTTTATTTTACTTTTATGTAAGTAAAATTTTTAAATATGTAAGACTTTTTTATGGTTCAAAAAGCTTAAACTATATATTAAAAAACTATATTCCAAGGTCTTGAACCCTTTTTCTTACTAACTTTTATAGCTACTTCCTATCAGCAAAATGTTTTCATCCATTTGTTTTTTGTTTTCTAGAAACAAGCTGATCTGATATTTTATGTGAATTCTCTTCTTATCCTTTCAAGAAGTACTTATATACACTGTTTTATCCTTTTCGCTTAAGAAGTTATTTCTAGAGAACATTTTTCTTGGTCCAAGAGAGACTGTTCATTGTACATCTCAGTAGTGTTCACCGTGGCTGTAGTAAAGTGTGTTCAGAGCAGTCTCCTGTTGGTAGACATCTGGGATGCCGCATTGAATTACTTTGTGCTCTTTCTTAATGTTTAGGGAAATACATATTTTGAATAGATGCCTAGAAGTGAGATAGTTGAATGAAGAGCAAATGCAGGTGTGATATTGTTAGCTATTAACAAATTCTTCTCAGTGAGTGTACCATTTTGCATTCCCTGCAGCAGTATATGTTTGTCTCCTCAATAGCCTCAACAAGAATTTCTTGTCAGTTTTTGTCACTTTTTTTTTCAATCTGGTAGTAAGAATTGGGATCTCATGGCAGCTTTTATTTTTTCTCTTTTATGAGTAGAATTGAGCATTTTTGTTCATGTTTTCAAGGGCTATTTATAGATTTTTCTGAACTGTTTGTTCAGAGTTTTTATGTCATAATAAATCATTAGGGACCATTTACTAGCAGTCAGTTCTTTCTATCCTAAAATAGTCATTGTTATCTGGCTTTTTTGGTGCTACATTCTTATGATCCTTATCTTTATTGGGTGAATTGCATTTATAATTGCTTTTAAAAACTTATATTTGAATGAATATTATACACTAGCTTTTCAAAATAAGGATTTAAAGTTGCTTTGTTCATAAAAAGTACAGAATGGTGCCCAAATCAATTGTATTCATTATAAGATCAGTTTTATTCATTTTTTTAGATCTGTAATTAAAGGCACAGTACTTAAACCTAAAAATTATGCCGTTGTTTTAGTAAGAATTGTAAAATACAGTATTTTGTAGAAATAATCAGGGCACGGGTAGTATGTTTGGGAGGTTTCTTTGGTAATGATGTCGTGAAATATTAACTTGGATTACTTTTTTCATGTAACTATCAGTTACTAATCTACCACCATAGTACATTTGTATTTTAAAATTAGAGTGAAATTAGCCATGTAGGAGTTAGCTTGAAGTGCAGAGGAACAGATGAGAGCCTTTAATTTACAGAAATAATCATGGTAGAGTTTTAGGTTTATACTCATTTTAATGGTGAAGAAGCAAACCATGTTGTACAGAACATACTAATGGATGATGTCATCCCTTAGTGGAGTAGGAAGTGTGAGAGTATTTAAAGATCATATGGATATTTACATAAAGTTGCAGAAGTCATAAAATACTGTATATGTAATCGTCATAGTATCTGTAGGTTAGTGGTTCTGGTGTGCGGGAGAAAACTTAAATATTCATTATTTTGGTTAGCCATATTTAAAAGACAAACCAGCAGTGGAAATTTTGCCTATGCTTCATTAGAACAGATTCATCCCAACAGAGATAGAGGAATCCCTGACTGAATAATGCTATGTCTGAAGAGAGATATTTCTCACTTTCTTCTGGGAGTTTTGTTTCTACCCTCATTTGGATTGGCTTCTAGGCAACCGTAAGAAGAAAGGGTACGGAGTGCACCGAATGTGCCCTTCTCAGGATGAGCTGCAGTGGGTCTGTTGGCATTCTATTGGCACCTGCAGATTCATTTTATCTGAAAACAGTAACAGAGTCTGTGTACGAGAAAATGTACTGGGTGAACATTGATCCAGGTTTCTTTTTTTCTGTTACTATTGACTTGTACTTATTTCTGTTTTGAAACAGAACTATTTTACCGAAACCAGAACAAATTGGAGAATACTTTGCAATGTAAAAATTTAGTTTTTCGTATTCATTTTATATCTTTTCAAAATACTGCCTTAAGATATTTTTTAAAACTACCAATAATTGAGTTGTCTTGTAATTATATAGGACTATTTTTGTGTAAAACTGTAACAGTTACTTTTGCATAAAGCAAAGTTCTTATTACCTTCTTAGTTCTTTTTCTGCCAGAACAAATTAAAAGATAGAAGAAACAGATGAGGACTAGAAAATGACCAGCTCAATGTTAATAGGCAGATTCTAGAGAGCCGAAGTGCCAGCGAGCAGAAAGCGGGTGAAACATGACCTCTGCTTTTCCAAGAGAGTTGGAATAAATTTCACAAAAGAAACCTTTGACCACCTGTCTACACCTATTTACTCTTACCTTATAAACAGCTTGTTTATTAGGTTTCCTAGGTCATAATAGATGCAAAGCAATAAGTGAGAGGAAGGGTGAGGTGGGAGGAGGATTAAAAAAAGCATGCAGTCAGCAGTGATGGGTGATGTTGTCAGAAAAGCCGGCCCCAGGAATAGCTCTGAAGAAGTCCAGTGGGGATGTTTCTGGACAGGTGAAAATTCACACTTCAGTAACTCACCCATTAGCGTTCTGTCTCTGGACGTGTTCAACTCTTAATTCTATCTATAGAACGGGCTCAGTATTGCTTCAATCAGCAGTCATTGTTTGGGTTATATAGCTGAGATCCTGCATTGGAAAACATTTAGCACAGTATCAGGTGCAAGAAGGCAGTCACTGGTTGAATCTTGCAGGGGTATGAATCTCAGTAGTTAAGCTCTGCACACTGTACTTACCCTTTTTTGTTGTATTTGGTCTCAGATGTCAAGCTCACACTCGTTTCTCTGTGGTCTACAAATCCAGAAAGCTCTGAAAGCTGGGCATGTTCGTCACTAACTCTTGTCCACAATCTGATCCAAATTGATGAGACTATATAACTTTTTCCTCCTTAGTGTATATGTGATATTTTGGTGTTCCACTGAAAAATGTAAAGATGTTTAATGGTGGGGTGCTGTCCCAAATCTGCCAGAGGATTTCCCTATGTCTTCATACTATGTTTCTGAAATCTGAAAATTCCGCATTCTAAGGTATATCCAGCTCTTAAGAGTTTGGGATGGATTATGGACCTTTGTTATTTAACATACGTTTGGATCGATAGGAGGAATTCGTGTGATCTTACTTAAGAGAAAATACTGTGGATACTGAATGTTCGATCATCTTAGAAATGTTGACTGAGCTAATAACAAACGCAAATCATCGTGTTCTCTTTCTCCCCTTCACAGCAAAATGAAAAGGAGAACTTGTTGAAGGAAAGAGATCATATTTTGTCAACTTTGGGTGAGACAAAACAGAACCTGACGGGACTTTGCCAGAAAGTCTGTGAAGAAGCGGCTCTGAGTCAAGAACAAATACAGATTCTCGCCAAGTACTCGGCCTCAGATTGTCCACTTTCATTTTTAATTTCTGACAAGGGAAAAAGTACTTCTGATGGTGAACTTCTGTTGCGATCAATTTTTAGTTTGTCTGATTGGCCTCCGGCCGCGCCGCCTCCTGGTGGGAGAGGAGTCTGTGAGGCAAGCTACGCGGCCACTGGGGCCGGGGCTGGGGCCGGGGCCGGGGCCGGGACCGGGACTGGGACCGGGACTGGGACTGGGACTGGGACTGGGGCTGGGGCTGGGACTGGGACTGGGGCTGGGGCGCGCGAGGCTCCACCGACGCGCACAGCTGCCTGCACGCCGGGGCCTGGGGAGCAGTGTCGCCCGAGTGGTGGAATCTCAGATTTCTGTCGGCAGATGACCGATAAATGTACTACTGATGAGTAAACTTGCTTTCTCCTCCTTCAGCCCCTTGAATTTCCTACTGACGTTTTGGCCAAGCCCAATACAGTCTTGTTTTAAAATCTTGTCCTCCCCTCATAGCTTTTCATTCAGGGATCTCTCTTTAAGTCAACTCTGATTCCCACAAAAGACTCAGAACTGATTTGTCTCCTGGGTTTTGAAACACCACACATGAAAATGTAGTAAGCCCTTAAAACATGAGTTTTAAAAAATAACTATTAGTAAAAGCTTCCAAGGATTCAAAAAAACTATGAGAATGAAAGCTGCAGCATATCAAACCCAGTTTAGCAGCTGAAACATCTGCAGATAGTTCCTCCTAAGGAAGTGGGCTGCAGAAGCTTAATACTCAGACCTCTTGCAGTAAGTATACCTGTTTAAGAAGCAGCACTTTCAGGTCTACTGAGAAATAGGGTGTCAACAGTGGGAAATGGAGCTGCAGTGTGCAAAAGAGATCACCTTACCTGAATCCTAGAGCTCTGCTCTTCTGCTCCTACTAAAACCAGGTATGGATTGGACTTCGCTGTGATTCCTAAGCTACACTGGGAGGACTTAGTGCACAAGCAGGTGGTTGGCCTGAAGTGGTGGAGGCTTTTTCTCCTCCCCAGTACTGACTAGAATTTCTGGCTGCATAAACGTAGATAAATGTCACCCCCCCCCCGCCCCCCATCAGTCTCTGTCACATCTGAGCCCATCATGAACTTTGTTTCCTTACATTCTTGTCTCTTGGAAGAAGTCACCTGATTTGAGATGCAGTGCTGAGTGAATGACCTGGCAGCACTGTCCTTGGCCCCCTGCAATCCAGTACAGCAGCTGAACACACAAGGCTTTTTACTTTACACCATGGGTCACCAGGGCCAGAAAAGCAGACACTGATGTCAAAGCAAATCGCCCGCATTCACCAGGAGCACAGTTCATTTTTTTTTACCATTTTTAAAGTCTTGTGGTATACTTGTAAACACCATTATTGTAGAAAAAATGTACTACTATGACTGTGCAGGTTTGTGAGAAAAGATGAAACTTGATCTTGTACCACTTAGGAACCATATTTTAATCCCTTTTTGTTTTCCATATTTAGTGTGGTATAAAGGCACATAAATCAGTTTGACGTGGGCATTTAAAAAATCATTCTTTGTATTTATTTGATCCTGTTATAAAATGTATTTATAATTTAAGCACCTGCCCTGTAACATTTTGTAATAATTCTTAGCCAATCTGGAATTACAGACTTGAGATTAAGATGAAAACTGTAGACCTCAACAATTCAAACCAACAAACAAAAACATACATATAGGTTCAGCATCCCTCATCAGGAAGTCTGAAATGCTTCAAAATCTGAAACTTTCGAGCTCTGACATGATGCCCCAAGTGGAAAAATCCCACACCTGATGTCAGGTGACAAATTGCAGTCAGAACACACAAACTATTGGCTGTGTGTGTAAGAAACCTAGATAATTTCATGTTTAGGCTTGGGATTAATCCCCAAGATATCTCATTATCTATATAGCAGATATTGAGAAATCTGAAAAAACCCTGAAACTTCTAGTCTCGTGCATTTTAGATAAGGGATACTTAACCTGTGTTCACAGAAACATTTACAGAACCCAGTTTCTGAGGGTACAAAGGGGTAGTTTGTAGTATTTGGAATAGGAAGTACTTCATTTCATTAAGTCAGACACCTGAAGAGATAAGTTCTCTAAACTGCTGAGTCCCCTGAAGGGCCTGGGTACAAATGAGTCAGAAACAAGTAGACCTTTGCCTTGAGAGTGTATGGGGACCAGTCTCTTTGTTAAACATTACTCTTTTTTCATCAGGGTGTGGGGCAGCATGGAAATGGTTAGTGGTAATACATTTTTTCAGTGTTTGTATGTTATATTTTATTGATTTAATCAGGAGAGAAAATTGGAATTATTTTCTAAAGGCTTCCAGAAGTACTTTTGATTTGTCAGGAAGAATGCTCATTCTGTGAGAATGTATCCCATACTACAAAATAATTATATGTGTATATCTCCCCCATGTAGCTGTTTCCTTGATATTTGTAATTTTAAATTTCAGCTTCACAATATAAAATAATATAAGGACTTTTCTGGTTTACAAAATGTAAAATTTTATCCAAACCAATGGAATCATTGATTTCCTACCTCAGTGTACACTCAACTGTTAGTCATCAGTTTGTGTGCAAATGTCAAGTAATTTTTTGCTTTAATTGAAACTGTAAATATTTGCTTTGAAAAGTTTCTATTTTATGCTAAAACCTAGTTGTCTCCACAGTTTAAATATAATTTTTAAAGCACCTATTTTGTATTTCTCTCTACCTGTAAACAGTTTAGCATTAAGGGTTGTTTTAATGGTATGTGATAATTGGCCACATGTACTATTTCTTAAAATTTAGCATTATTTTTAATAGCCAGTGTGTAATACAAGCATAACTACACTACCTCATACCTACATGATTTTCAACTTGTAATATAGATGGACAAAAAAGATTTTATCTTTGTCTTTTGGCCATAAGGTGGGGAAGTTTTCTATATATTGCATAGCATTACACATTTATGCCTATTTTAACATTAACTTCTAAAGTTTTTTCTAAGATAATTTGTTTCAAGGCAATATTTTTTGTTTTTGAGGCTGCCAGAAGACAAATGAGAGGATTATGTGTATACAGTGTATGCCTTTTCCTTCATGCAGAATTTGGAATTGTTTTCAGTTTGTATATTGCCTTTGTACATGATCATTGTTCCTTGTTTTATGAACTGGCCTCTCAGTGCTTGATCAAGATTTTTAAAAAGGTGTTATGTAAAATAACATTACCATAAAATTTTCTCCTTATTTGAATAGTATAGCTATAGAAATTTATTAAATTGTTATATTTAAAACAAATGTGAATATAATAATGGTTCTCCATCTGTAAGTTTTGTAATAATTTACTATAGCTTAATGCTTAACCAGTTTTAAATGAGGAATTAAATGTAGTTGATGCAATAGATGATACAGATTGCATGTGGACACTCAGCCACATTAACAGTTTGGAAAAAAGAAAAGGCAAATGTTATAATGAATTCTCAGGTGAACTTTTTTCAGTTATGGAACATCTATTTTGAATTTGTAAATATTTTAAGTGTTTTATTAAGGCATGTAATAATCTTATTTGAAACCTGTTGGGTAGAATAAAAATTTAAAGCCGTAATGGTAAAAGATGGCATACTGATTGTAAAATAAACAGCGTTATTGATTTTTTTTGTATCTTTCATAATATAATTTTCTAACAATACAATAAAACCACTAAACTTGTATATCCATGTCTTATTAGAACCATGTTTCATTAAAAGTACACTTTTATGGTATTTAATTTACATGTTCTTCCTAATGTGCTTACTATAAATACTAGATGTTAATAAATTGACAATAAAATTCTCTAAAATTGTTTCTAATTGAATAGAGTTGTACATTCCATTTCCATTTTCTCACCTCTCATGTGAATTTATTAATTTTAGTCTTTTAATTAGTAATCAGAAGTCAGTAAGACTGGCAATGATAGAAGAAAATACTTCATTAAAAAATATTATGCCTGAAAAAAAATAAGCTCAGCATACAAGTGTTTTAGGAAGTACAGACTTCTTTTAGCTTGTAGCTAATTTAGCTTATTTTGGTTTGTGGATTAGGAGCTTTCAAAGGGTCTTGTCAGTCACTGACTTCTTGGTTGTTTTTTTTGAGGCAGTTTCTTGCTATGCGGTTTAGGCTGGCCTTAAACTCAGTGGGTAGCATATGGTGTCCTCAAATTTGTGACAGTGCTGGGAGTACAGGAGTGCACCCCATGCCCAGTAATCACTGAGCTTTGAAATCTTACCTGCTTAGTTAGCTGTCATGTTACATTCAATTTCTAGCATGGCCTGTGTCACCAAACTGAGCAGCTGCTCAGTGTTCCTAGCCTTGTAAGTGCATGGTCTTCTGGTCTACTAATAGTGATTCTCAGCTGGGGAGATTTTGCTATGGAATATGGCATTGGTGGACAGAAACCAGGGATGTTGCCAAACCTTGTACCACAGGCAGCATTCATAGCAATCATCCACTTGAGGTATGAGTCTTGCTGATGTTGAGAAAATTAGCCTAAGGATGGAATCTGGATGACATGTAAGAAAGCATTGAGTTGAGTGAGGCACTGTGATTACTACCAGAGCTTAAGGGAGAAGAAATATCAAACATGGGATGTCATCAAGACTTCAGTCTTGGAGAGCAGGTTGCCATAGGGAGAGGAGACTGGAGACCTCTCAGTACAAATAAACCTAGGTTCCTGGACTGGGAGGGAGGAGGAGCCCAGTCTAGTAAGGTCTTTGAGGGCAGCAGTCCCTTTGAGTGTCCTTTACTTGTGTGTCCCAGCAACGTGCATATTGCCCTGCATCACTGAGTTAATTGGTGACAGTCTGAGGTCAGTCAAATCTTTAAACAAGTATTAAGTACTATGTGTTGAGGGATTTTTGTTTATGCTTTTTTGCAGTACTGGGCTTGAACCCAGGGACTGGACACTGAGCTACAACCCCAACCCTTTTTAAAATCTTGGGACAGAGTCTTGCTAAGACACTAAAAGTTGCCCCAGGTGGACTTAAACTTGTGATTCTCCTGCCTCAGCCTCCTACTGTGCTTTTTGAGGGTGGCTAATAGTTCCTTCTGCCTGGCCAGGGCTTTTAGCCATTTTAGAAAAATGGTTGTCAGTGTTGCTGGAGGTGGTCACCTTAGAACTTACGGCTTTTTACTCTGGTGAATTTGGCTGGAAATGTATTGCAGAATTAGATTTACCCAGCTACCCAGCCCATCCTCCAAGAGGCAAAGTCCTGGGAGGAACAGGAAGACAAGTCCAAGAGTAGGGTAGGTGGGAGCATGTAGGCTTGTTTGTGATAGGCCAGGTGCCTGTTTAGGGGCCATGCCTTTCCTGGAGATCTGGATTAGAGAAATGTGTTCCTCTTACATCCTTATATCTTCTGGTTTTAAGTTTTCCTGAAGCATTAACCTTAACCATTGCCCACTGCTCAGCTAGGGCTGTTGGTAATGACCTGGAAGAGGAGAGCCACGCTTTCAGGAGGTGAACCTGCCATTGCTTTTATGAGGCAGTACCACCCTCAGGCTGTCATTTCCTGGGATTGTGAGTGGATGGTGATGGAGCCAACAATCAACTACTAAGTAAATGTAAAGACTACTCTACCGAAAAGTAAAAATTACATTTCCCATTTTCCCTGATTCTTCCTGCCTCATTGTCCATTAGAACATACTTAGAGGTTCCACACTGAGGTTAAATCCCAACACAGGAAGATGCCCATAAGAAAATGCACGAAAGGTTGTCCAATAATAATGATACCCCAAATTTGAAGAGAAGTAGCCTCCAATTTTTAGGGGGGAAAAGACAGTTCAAAGGTTAAATCCATTTGGAAGCTAAAATCCAAAGACGTTAAAGAAATCCAATAACTAAGTCAAATTCTCTTTTTTTTTTTTAGTTATGACTTCATCTATTTATTTGAAGCTTACATACATTTTCCCTCTTATTCCTAGTTTATTATTTCAGGATCCTTGTTAGTAGCAGGAGGAACTAGAACTACAAGAGGTCTGGTGAGCAGTATTTCCTCACTCTTACTCATTTTTCTTTTCTACCTAGAGAGACTGGATGGATCACGTATGTATACTTCTGTGGCATAAATGAATTTCTTAGTTAACATTTTACTTTTTAAAATTACTTTTAATTTTTTTTCCCATTAAGTTTATTGGTACATTTTCGGTATAAAATACAGTCACATTCATCATTGGGATCTTGTACCTTTACATGAGTATCTTGGTTCTTATTTTTTTCCCCTTCCCCTGCCCTCCCTTCACTCCTCCACCCTGCCCTATTTGCAAAGACTTTGTTTCCATTTTTTTCCTTTTCTCATATTTTTTCTTTTCCCTTTTTTCCTTTCCCCTCCACTCCCACTTCCCCTGCTCTTTTAGACCTTTTCTTCCTGTTACACAATATCAGTTATACATTTTTAAAATTACAATGTTAAGATCTAGGTGACATTACCACAGATTTTACAGAATTTAAAAGGATATAGAAAGCATATTACAAAAATCTTTTTTGAA